CTTTTAACATTAGTTGTAGGCAGAGGTTCCCCCCAGTTCTGTAAACCAAACATTCGGCCTTAGCTCTAACACATACAAGATTTATATTGCATGGACTCCTCTTTTTTATAAGAACCCACTATTCTAGTAAACCTCACCTCCTGCAGAGAATAAGAGAAGCACCCGTCACCCACTTAAGTCACATTCCCCCCCTCGCCAAACGTTTTCCAAACATTCCTTGCGCATGGAGTCCGGCATCCACGAGCTCGGGGCATAACTCTCATTCCAGTGTTGGCAAGGAGGAAATGGCTGTTCTGCAGGCATTCTCTCTAGGCCGCAGTGGTAGCCGTAGTATGGCGCAGAGGGGACCCCCCTTAGGAGCGGGGCCCAGGACCCCCCTTCCGAAAAGTGGGGACAGAAGGTTTTAGTTTTCATCCAGGGAGCGCTTTGTTCGTGTCAGCCCCGGATGATCTTGCTGTGTCCAGATGTTGCAAATGAAAAACATTTTCCTGAAAAGGTGCCAGATGTCCAGTTCACAGAACAAACATTCCGGGACTATAAACATCAACTGAGGTCAGCGTGAGGGCCACAGGCCTTTGGTGCTGGGGGGGGGGGGGGGGTGTTTGGAGACCCCCCAGCGGAAAGGGGGTCGATTCAGGAGTCTCTTCCTTTAGCAAAGTTCCTCCTGATGATTTAGGCCTTGGTTAGCTTTGGGGCTTGTGTCCCCCAAAGTTGGGAGGATAGTTGGGGAAGGCTTGGGGTACACGTGTGTGTGTGTGTGTGTGTGCGTGTGTGCATGTGTACCGTTGCATGGGGGTGTTGCCCAGGCTGTGTGGCTTTGGGCCTGCTCAGGAGCTGGTCTTGAGGCTCAGGGTGGCTATAGGGGCACAAAGACTACGAGAGGCAGTTGGCATCCTCCAAACACACACATCCATGCCCCCTGGAGGGACACAGATGCAGATGTGTCCTTTGGACTCATTCCTATTCATGCCAGGCAGGGATCCACTTTCAGGAGGGGTGGGGGCGGGGCCACCGCCTGCAGGGTTATTTGTCGTAGTTGGGACCGTGCTGTTCCCTCCCAGGTGACAACAGTACCGAGCTCTGTCCGGGCTTCGTGATGCCTTTTCTTTCCTGGAACACGGGGCCTCGGCTCCCCTGGGCTGGGCATCCTGACATCTGGCAGCCTCCACCCCACATTTCCAGGAAGGCGGCTTCGAAACAAGAGGTGCGGCCCCGGCTGGGTGGCTCAGTGGGTTGGAGCGTCGTCCATACACCAAAAGGTTGCAGGTCCGGGTCCCAGGCAGGGCACAGACCTAGGTTGCAGGCTCGATCCCGCATCGGGATGCGCACAGGAGGCAACTGATCGAGGTTTTACTCTCACATCAATGTTTTTCTCTCTCTCACTCCCTTCTTCTCTAAAATCAATAAAAACATATCCTCGGGTGAGGATTAAAAAAACACACCAAGAGGTGAGGGGGAGGGGACCAGGAGCACAAGAGTTTGGGGAAGCAAGCGGGCGGGGGGCTCCCCGCAACCCTGGGAAGATGGGAGAGGTAGAACCCCAGTTCGGAAAGCAGGGCTCACCCCCCTGCCCTCTGCCCTCCACTCTCACTGGCTCCAGGCGGCCCCCCGCTGACCGCAGGTGAGGTTTGCATTCCCGGGCTGTTTGTTCTGTTACTGGGAGGAGGCGGCTAGCTAACAGGATGCAAGTTTGAATCCTGGCCCTGCTGTGGACCAGCCAGAAAGGCTCCTCCAGTGACCCGGCAGTTCTCAAACAGGGTGGTCCCGCGCTGCCCAGGGAGCATTTCAAGGGTCGCGGGGACCAGTGGGCACTACGGGCGCCTTGGGCCAAGGACGCTAAAGGTCAGTGGGAGGGTCAGAGTCTCACGAAGCAGAATTCCTCTGCCTCACACGCCCAGTGAAGCATCACCTATTCTTAACCTTTCAGAAACCAAATGTCCTCATTGATGTAAAATTGGAAATCACTGTAGTAATAGTTCTTCACGGGGCAGTTGTGAGCTTGGAAGGAAATCCTGTGTCTGCTCAGGGAGGTACCCGGACCACGGTTCACCCTTCAGACGGTGACGAGTAGCATCGCTACCTGGGGGTGGGGCCGATTCTGGAACATTAGCCCATGTTATCTGTGTTCTCAGTGTTCTGCCTTTTTTTCTCTGTCATTCAAAGCTCAGGGGAAAGGTGGGCTGCGGCGCCTGCCAGCTCTCCTGTCCTTGGGGCCGGACACAATGAGGAGCCAGGACCCAGGGAGGGAGGTCAGCACCCTGAGGGGGGCTCAGGGAACCCTGCAGGATGCTGGACCCCTCCCCCCCACGAGAGGAGAGCAGCAGGGGGTGGAGGCCTTGGGGACACGGCTGAGGGACACGTGAGGGACATCAGGGTGGTCTGTGTGTGCCGCTCCCCAGCCCCCATGGGGGTCTTGTAACCTCTGAACCCAGGAAAAGGGGGTGCAGAAACCCTGAAAAAGACTCAGTGTTTACTAGTGTGGAGGAACCTAGCCCTGGGAGGCAGGAATCAAGTCGTAGAAAACAAATTATATACAAAATTCTGTCTCACCCGCTGGGCAGAGCTCACTGCATATTACTCTTTGTCACAGGCCCGTGGGACTCTGGGCTTTCTGGGGTTGGGGGTCAGAGGCAGGGTCCTGGGGGGGATGGTATCTCTGAGGAGAGGGAGGGGCACCTTGGGGCCTCTGAGGGGGGCGGGTAGAGAAGTGAAGGGGTTTCCGGAGAGGAGCGGCTGGGGATGCGGGATCCGGACAGCTCTTTGCTGGGTGCTGTCATGGGTGGGAGCGGAGGGATGTGACCTCTGACCTCGTGTGGCCTCCAGCTGGACCCCGAGCCTTCCTTTAGGCGGGGCAGGAGGGAACCTGATGGGGCCAGAGGAGGAAGTTGGGAGCATCCCGCCCTCCTGCACCCCTGCCCGGGATTCTGCCAGTCCTCCCTGCTGGGCTGCAGTCCCCACCCGCCCCTCTGCCACTTGCTGCCCTCAGCCCCCTTGACGTCTGCACTCGGAGCTGCAGAAGGAAGAAGCCCGCACACCAGGGGCTCGAGGGGGAGGTTTATTGTAAGAACTGTACAAAGGGGCCTGTCTGCTGGCCTGGCTTGGGCCTGTGCCTACCCGGGCACGGCACGAACGGGTGTGGGTCTGCCAGTGCGGAGGGGGCACAGGCAGGGGGAGGCGCTACAGTCTGTACACAGTCTCTCCAGTCCAACAGACGCAGAGGCTCTTGGGGCCACGCCAGTCCGGGCCCGAGGAGGGAAAGGCAGCGGGCAGGGTGCTGGCCAGGGAGGAGGCTGCCCCCTGTAGGGTGAACCTTCGGAAGGAAGAGCCGGACGGAGTGGGGCCCCTTCCACAGAGGACACAGGCAGGAGACACCGAGCAGGGCTGGGCACGGGTGTGACGAAGACAAGCAGCAGAAGGGAAGATCATGGAGTCACAGGGAGCGAGAGGGGGGCGCCCAGGCTGGGCGATGAGGAGGCCAGAGGGCGGGGCAGACAGAACAGAGGGCTCCGGCCTGTGGGCCACACACACACACACACACACTTGCACTTTGTTTTGGAGGTTTGGCTGCTTCCTGAGTTGTAATCAAACGTGTTCACAAGAAACAAGAAAAAGAAGAGGAACTAAGGCCAACAGGGACTCGAACTTCGCACATGTGTTCACAGGCGTACACACACTCACACGGACAGGCCTCTACAGAAGACACACTCACACCAGCCAGACTGCACAGGGGCCCACTGACACACATTTCCACAAACAGACCCAGACACACATGCATATGTAGGCGTCGTGGGACACAATGGTGTACACACTTGAACACACACACAAGTGAATCAATCCAGTGACTCCTCCTCCAAGCTCAGCCTCTGACTGTTCTCCGGGAGCCAGTGGAGGCCTGGCACTGCCGTGCCCAGATCGGCTGTGCCAGCAAAAGGGCTCCCGGCATTCCAGGCAGCAAGAGGTTGGAAGGTTGGGCCTGAGCCAGGTGGGCTGGGCATGGCCCAGTGTGAAATCTCTAACATGGGCTCAACTATAACATTCTTAGGATCACTTTTTGAGGGGGTGGGGGTGGTAGGGAAGGCTGAGGAGGGAGGAGGGGAGGGAGGGAACAAGATGTTTCCTCCTGAGTGCTGGGGTTCCCGCCCTACCCCAGGTCTGGGAGTTCAGGCCAAGAAGAGCCCTCAGTGCTGTGAGACTCTGGTGGACACGATCTAGAAAAAGGCAGGTCCCAAGTGGGGTCTTCCCTTGTGCTCTTTCCCCAGGGGCCAGCCAGGGGCTGGAGGTCTGGACAGTGGACACACCAGGAAGTGGTTTCAGGGGCCACAACCCCAGCCCGATGCACCAGGATCCAGTGGCCAATGAGGCTGGTGGAGCCATTGCAGACCAGCAACTTTTCCCTTTTCCAGGGAATTCCTGAGCCGCTGGGGAAACTGTCCCAGAGATGGGGCGGCTGGCGGGCCCTGGGGCCAGGTGTCTGCTCTCCCTGAGGGTAGGGCGTCTTTGGAGAGGCCAGCAGCCTGTAAGACTCTGGTGGCAAGAGGGCAGCCAATCCCTCCATCGCAGGCCGGCTCCTCCCACAGTGGGGGCAGAGATTCTGATGTTCCAACCGCCCTCCAGGCCAAGAGGAGAGGCAGCAGGGCCCCTGAGGAGGTGAGAGCAACATGAACGCGAAATCACAGAGGCAGGGGTCTTGGGCCCAGCGTGGAGCCTCGGATTGCAATTCCCATTTTCCATGGCCGGGGGAGGCAGGGGCTCTGGCCTAGGTGTTAGCCCCACAGTGGCCACGTCCTGTCCCCAACAGGGAGCTGGATCAGTCCTCGACTCAAAGTCCCGCGCCCTCAGCCTGCAGGCAGCTTTGGGGAAGCTCCAGGGCTCTACCAGCCTCAGCTGGCCACCTCACTGCCACCTGCTAGACCAGAGACTCTTTGACCCCCGGGCGTACTGTTTGCCCTGGGGGTGGGGAGGGAGGGAGGGCAGCGTCGGAGGGGCTGATGGGCGTGAGCCCCACGGCAGGTCCAGCGTCCCCCGTGGAGCCCGTCTCCTCACCCTTGCCCTGCACATCGCTGTCCCCGTTCTCGGGGCCGTACAACTTGCTCATGGTGTTGACGATCAGCCCCTCCTTCTCGGGGGCCCCGTCCCCGCTACCGTCCTGGCTGTGGCGGTACATGTAGGACGCCTGCTTCACCGAGCGCTGAAGCAGGTGCCGGCGGTAGGCCCTCTGGATCTTGATGGCACATACCTCCTCGTGCTTCCTCCTGAGGGTGGTGGTGATGGGCTCATAGGAGACCTTGGAGGGGTTGGCTGCCATGAACTTCTCCTCCATGGTCTCCTTGAGGGCGTCCATCTCCCCCGAGTCTCCCAGGACCTCTTTGGTCAGGGCGAAGAGAATGTCCAGGCAGTGGATTTTGTCGCCTGGCACCATGGGCAGGTCCAGCGTGATGAGCTTGATCTTGTTGGGCTTGGCGATCCTCAGCGGCTCCTGCAAGGTGTCCACGAAGTCGGAGAGGCGGCTGTACTCAATGAACTGCGTGGCGTCGGGGTCGAACTTCTCCCACGTCTCGTAGAACATCTCGAAGTCGTCCTCACAGAGGGGCTCGCCGCTCTCCTCGGTGGCCACGTTGAAGTTCTCCAGGATGATGGCGATGTACATGTTGACCACGATGAGGAAGGAGATGATGATGTAGCTGCAGAAGAAGCAGATGCCGACGGAGGGGTTGCCACAGTCACCCTTGACGCTGCTGCCCGGGTTCTCCAGGGTGGGGTCACAGTCGGGGGGCCCGCTGTTGAGGATAGGGTTGAGGAGCCCGTCCCAGCCGGCCGACGTGGTGATCTCAAAGAGGCAGATGATGCTATTGCCAAAGGTCTCAAAGTTGAACATGTCATCGATGCCCGACTCCTTCTTGACGTAGGCGAAGTTGGACATGCCGAAGATGGAGTAGATAAACATGACCAGGAAGAGGAGGAGGCCGATGTTGAAGAGGGCAGGCAGCGACATCATGAGGGCAAAGAGCAGCGTCCGGATGCCCTTGGCCCCACGGATCAGTCGTAGGACACGCCCGATCCGGGCCAGGCGGATCACACGGAACAGTGTGGGGGACACGAAGTATTTCTGGATCAGCTCAGAGAGTGCGAGACCTGCAGGGAGGAAGTGGTGAGCACTGCTGTCCTAGGGTGGGGGCGGGGCTGGGTTAGGGAGTGAGGGGGCATGCGGCCTCAAGGGGGCCTGGCCTGGTGCGCTCAACTTTTGGAGCACAGCCCAGATGGTCTCACCCATTAGGCCAGGCCCTCCCAGGGTCTTGGGACAAGGGGTTCCATCTTTGTCCCCACACAGCTGGATGGAGGTGAGGTATGCTAAAGTTGACGGGGCGAGGGTCAGGCCTATTCCCAAGGCTGTTTGCAGATGCCGTAGATGAGTTACTATCATAAGTACATACATGTCCATGCACTTCTCCAGTGTGTATGGATAGGGGTACCCGACTGTGCAACTACTTGTCAGGTAAATGTTCCTTGAGGTGTATACAATGTGCCTCTGTGCACGAGGTGTGAATGGCAGGTGCACACGCACGTGCGTAGGTGTGATGATGTGTATAAGCAGGCCGGGCGCATGTGTCCATGAGGGCAGCCTGGCCTGGCCCTGCTCACCTGCAATGGACAGGATGACAACCACAAAGTCGAAGATGTTCCAGCCGACGGTGAAGTAGTAATGGCGCAGGGCGAACATCTTGAGCACACACTCCCCCGTGAAGATGATGATGAAGATCATGTTGATGTTGTACAGGATGTCCACCTTCAGCTGGCTCTGGTCGTCCGTCTCCACCATCATGGTGACCATGTTGAGGCAGATGAGGATCATGATCACGATGTCGAAGACCTGCTTCGTCACAAAGTCGTACACCACGCCCTGGATCTTGTTCTGCAGCACAGATGGGAGTGCAGGGACACATGTGGGTGCACGGGGGGGGGAGTGGTCAGGGCCCACACAGGACACGGACAGGCAGGAGACACAGGATGACACAAACATGAAAGAGAGAGGTGTGTCAGGGCTTATGGTGGTGTTGGCCAGGAAATGGAGGGCAGACCCATCAGACCAGGCCATTCTATGGGGTCCCTGGGCACCCTTCCTTGCTCTGAAGGTCTACCTGCCAAGGTCCTCAAGCAGCCCCTCACCCTTCCCCTAAGCCATTGCTCACTGGGGAGGGTGTCTGGCCATCATCTTCCTCCCCCTTCTAGGGACCCCTGCCCCAGAATCTACCAACTGAGGAGGTGAATGGACATTGAGGGGCTGTGTAGGGCCGGGTGAGGGGTGAACCAGGGACTGGAGTTTAACGGGCAGCTGCTGCTTGTGCATACAGCGCCTCAATACAGTTACAAAGAGGCACCCCTCCCGGCCAGTGGACCCAGCCTCCCTGCGGGTGGACTCAGCCTCACGCCAGGGACAAGCCTGGAGGGCAGAGTGTAGGCTGCATTTGGGCCCTGTGGGACCCCTCAGGCGGGAGCCTCACACAGGCTGTGGGAAGAGAGGCCCAGAGGGCAGGTACCTGGGGCCTTGGAATTGGCTTCTGAGGTTTCTTGGAGCCAAGCTTCTTCATGGCATTATAGTATTTCTTCTGTTCCTCCGTCATAAAGATGTCTTTCCCTCCAAAGTATAGTGGGATGGAGCCCATAAGGTTGGGAGGTCCCCCTTCTCTGCCTCCAGGACCTCCCTACCTCAGGTACCACCCTTAAAGCAACCCTCATCCCAGCAGGTGCCCCTGGTGGAAAGCGGGAGAGGAACATGGAGGGGCCAGAGATGGGGGTTGAGGAGGAGGAGGAGGGGGGTGACAGAGGGAAGGGAACCTGTGCTGCCTCACAGTCTGTTTTGGGCCTCTTCCCATCAGTACCTCATTGGGTCCCCAGAATCACCCAGGGAGGTTGGTAGCATCCCCCCATTTGATGGATAAGAACACCGAGGTTTGGGGGGGCCAAGTCACTGGTTCCAGGTTGCCTGGTGGGATCTGAACCCAGATTTGCTGCCTCGGCTGTGTTCCCAGCGACAGCACAGGGGTGCTGAGGCAGCGTTTGTGAACTATAAGGGCTGAATGGACCAAGGACGGGAGGAGGGAGGCCCAGGGAAGGCGGGGCTGGATACTCATCTTCTTCTTCTGCTGGTTGAAGTTGTCAATGATGACGCCGATGAAGAGGTTGAGGGTGAAGAAGGATCCGAAGATGATGAAGATGACGAAATAGAGGTACATGTAGAGGTTCACCTCGTACTGCGGCTGCTCCCCTTGCTGCAGGGGCCACAGGGTGTGCTGGGTGGGCTTGGGGACACACGTGCTCCCTGTCCCACTGTGGGCAGGAGAGGCCTGGGGCCCAGAGGTGAACCCATCCACCCTCGGAGTCTCAGGGTCTCCCGAGGAGGCAGCATGGGGGTGGGGATGGGCAGAACGTGCCACTGTGTCTTTGGTCTAGTCCTCCCCTGTGGCTCACTCATGAGCCATATCTCGGTGACCCCCACTCACCTCCCGGGAGTCCACGGCTGCATACATGATGTCCATCCAGCCTTTGAAGGTGGCCTGAGAGAGTGTAGTTGGGTGTAAGGGGTGGGGCTGCTTGCTGCCTCTATCATCCAGCCCGGTCCTCCCCCCGGGCCACCTGCCCACAGCCCCACTGGGCAGGTATCAGATAGAGACCAGAGAGGTCTGGGCACTACTTCAGGGTCCTGCAGCCCTGGAAGCAGGGTGGGCAGTCCCCTAACAAGGAGTGGCAGGAAGACGGGGGCACCTCTATCCACGTCCCTGCAGGGCCAGGGGTCGCACTCACCACCTGCAGGAGGGAGAGGTAGCCCAGACCCACGTTGTCGTAGTTGACCTTGACGTTGAGCCAGCGGACCTGGCCCGTGTACATCAGGCTGTCGCACTCAGACTTGTTGTTGACCTCGGAGATGTCGAACCTCTCGGAGGTGGTGGTGTTGATGCAGTAGTAGAACTTGCCGGCAAACAGGTTGACGCCCATGATGCTGAAGATGAGCCAGAAGATGAGGCAGACGAGCAGCACGTTCATGATAGAGGGGATGGCTCCCAGGAGGGCATTCACCACCACCTGGGGTGGGGGTGGGAGGGAGTCACTGTCAGATCTTCTCCCAGGCAGGGGAGCCCGTCTCCTCTGGGAGACAGCTCCCCACTGACACTAACCTGGAGACCAGGAAGGGCTGGGCATGGCTACTCAGGGAAGGCTTCCTGGAGGAGGGCACTCTGAGCCAGGCCTGGGGAGAAGTCTGCTGGGCTGTATGGTTGGGGCCAGGGGGGCAAAGAGTAGGGTTGGGGGCTGCCAGCATGGTGGTTGGAGAGGACTCTCTGCTTGGCTGGAGCTATCAGCCCAGAGTTGGGGCCCCGGCCTTCTCTGGAAGCAGCCTGGCCATGGGTCACCAGGCAAGAGACAAACACTCTTTCCTCAGCCCCCATAGGAAACTCAGCCCCCGTGACCAGCCCCTGCTCACTTGTTCACGGTATTAGAGACACAGGCATCGAAAAGAAGCCACCAGACTCGTTAAAGCAGCTGGACCCTGGGACCAGAGTCCTGCACCCCGCCAGCCCTGGCCACACAGGCCACCTCACTGTTCCAGGCTGGGCCCAATCTGAGAATTGTTCTTTTTAAGCAGAAGCCATGACATGACCTCCAGACAGAGTGGGTGGCACAGGCCTGGCGGTGACCAGGGCTCTATTCCTGGCTGGGGTACCAAGCAGCTGTGTGGCCATGGGCAGGTCATGTCCCCTCAGAGGGTAGGGGTCGGCCACTCTGGAGCTGGGAGGGCCCAGCACTGGCCTCTTGTATGAACAGGAGGGAGCCACTCAGGCTGAGTGCACTGATGGGCTGCAACCAGCCGATTCACAGAGGTTTGTCCCCCTGGGGCTGATCTTGTTCCCAACAGACCTCCCTTCGCTGGGGAAGTCCCATTTGTCTTGCCTAAACCCTGTGTTTACCAGTCACTTCCACCCTCAAGAGCCCGAGGGGATCTTTCCAAACTTGCATGACCCTGAGCTCAAGGGTCAGTAGGCTCAGAGCCCTGGGCACAAGTACCTCCCTGTTTGCTTGAGTCTCAGAGCCATGGGGAACCCCAGTCTGAGTTGGGGAGGGACACGCATAAATACACAGACCTGCTTTCGGTCCACCCTTCTCCCGGCCCTGGTGCCCTCACACCCTCCTGGGAGCTGCCGCAGCCTCTGCTGCCCCCCAGTGGTGGCAGAGAAGAGCTAAGGCGCAGGACTGTGGGCAGGAATGGGCACTTGGGGCTGATTCAGGAGGGCTGTCTCAGGCCCCCAACCTGGCCTACAGCAGGACCCTCTGCTTCCCCTGCTGGTGGCTGGAGCACAGGCATGTGGTCCCTGCCCTTTGCCCTGTGGTGGCTGCTCCCCCAACCCCCAGTCCTGCTCAGAGCCCTCCCCAGCACCCACCCTCATGCCCTCGAATCGGGACAGTGCCCTCAGGGGGCGTAGGGCCCGCAGCGTCCGCAGGGATTTGATGGGTCCCAGCTCCGAGTAGCCCATCCAATTGGCCACCAGGCTGATGATGGAGACCTGCAAGGGGAAAGGGGGGTTGGGGTGTCAGGGAGTGCAGGGCCCCTGGCTCCCCCCAAAGCCCCGGGACTCAGCCCTTGAGGACAGGTCTGCCACAGGGGCCTCCTAGACTCACAGCTCTAAGGGGTCTCTCCCAGGCCCCTTCCCTAGTGGGTGGTCCTCTCTGGTGGGAATTGTCCCAGCGCCTATAGGAGCCTGGGCTCTATCTCAGCGATGTCATCAATTAAACAGCGGCCCTGTGCCCGTCTGAGAGGTTATAACAGTGGTTCTCAACCTTCCCAATGCCGCGACCCTTTAATACAGTTCCTCATGTTGTGGTGACCCCCAACCATAAAATTATTTTCGTTGCTACTTCATAACTGTAATGTTGCTACCGTTATGAATCGTCATGTAAATATCTGATATGCAGGATGTATTTTCATTGTTACAAACTGAACATAATTAAAGCATAGTGATTAATCACAAAAGCAATATGTAATTATATATGTGTTTTCCGATGGTCTTAAGCGACCCCTGTGAAAGGGTTGTTCGACCCCCAAAGGGGTTGCGACCCACAGGTTGAGAACCGCTGGGATACAACATCTTCCACAAATATGGGCAAGTACAAGTCATCACCCTCCTACTTGCCCTGATGCCACCAGGCTCCCCTTTCTCTCAAGGAGCGGAGGTCCCCCCAGCCTGTTAGTCCCCTTCCTGGCCAGCTGTCCGAGGAGCCTGAGACCAGTCTCTGCGAGGGCAGGACGGCTAACCAGGGGTCTGACGCGCTCTGTGACCTCGAGCAGCTGCTGCCCCTCGGACTGGGGCTTCCTAAGGTCCGTGGCCACAAGGACGGCTCCGGGTCTGGCTGC